GGCTGGGATTTGTTTTTATCAAACTTCATAAACAAACATTAGTGTTTATTGCAAATGTATTGTATTGTATCGAAGAGTGTGTCTCCCCTACAGTACATACAGTGTCACATGTATATATAGACTCACTAACTCCAACCTTATACACACACACACACTCTTGTGAGATATTAATGATGTTGTGGAAATTGTAAAACAATATTCGGAGACACGGTTTACCTCCAGAGCAAATTGGAAAGTTCTGTTTCTGAGCAGATCCTCGTTAAACATTAAACATAATACTTTTTGCCTTGATTTAGAAATGGGGAAGGAAGAGTGACAGTGCGTCATCACCCGACAAACTCTCTCAACTCTGCTCTTCTCACCTCACACACTCCCCAGAATCCCTTTAAAATACCTCTAGTTTCAGATTGTCTCCCATGCATAAGGGAACAAGCACAGTTTTAGTCGCTGCAGCTGTCCAGCAAAATTTGGTGCAACCAGGTGAAGTAATGCCCACTTATCTCTCGTGTACACAAATGTAGTCGATTTACAGAATACCTACCTGCTATTCAATATTTATGGTCAGATAAAATTGCAGGAGAGGAGGTTTTTAATGTGGAGGAGGCAGGGAGGGTACCAATTCTGAAATATGCATGAGTGCACATGCAGCACCGGCCATTCTGAAGTGCGCTGCAGCTCTGTGCGGAAACGAGGGGAATCATCGCGAGGGGAAGTGTGGGAAAAGTAGGGAACGGAAAAAAAGAGCACCGAGATTTAATCAGACACTCCTACTCCTGGTTTAACTAGAATGAAGATCTGTGGTTGAGGAGCTTAAATGCACCTTTGCACCGACCCCGGTAGACTATTTTATTTAGCAAAGTTGACTTAGAGTAAGTCTCACTTTGAGTTTGTCAAAACAACCTAAATCCATAAAACACAGTTTGAAAGAGTCGGTTGCAGATTTCAGACACTGTTTCTTTTTTCTTTTTTATGAAAATATATTTGATCGTATAGCTCTGATGCTTGGTGGAGATGTTCTGATCAGTATAATAATAAAGAGGGTCTCCTCGGTATTCTGGTATTATCATAGATATTAAAAAGTGGAGCATGGGCAGCCGGGTCAGTGTGGACTATTATCTGCTCTTCCCTTATGACAGTGATGAGTCCAGAAGTTGTTAATCATGAATAGATGGAGAATATGATAATGGACTAGTTTACTGTGCATGGACCCTGACGTATGTAATAATAATATTAACTTCCTTTATATATAACTTTTAAAAAAAACATTGTAATCAATGTTGGCTATCTTGGCCAGGTCTCCCTCGAAAAAGATAATTTCATCTCAAGATCTTTTTAAATTAAAAAAATACAATAAAACCCAAAAGCTGCTACAACAAAAAATTGAAATAAAAAGTAATGGAGCAGGTAGACAGATATACGACGAACATACATAGTGTGTGCTAAGACGTTTAGAGCCAGTTACAGTGATTTACAGCTGCAGCGTTTTGAACAAGCCGGAGATGTGAGATTGATTTTTGACTGAGGCAGGTAATGTATAGAGATAGTTGCAATAGTCTAGATGAGAGGAAATAAAAGTGTTATTTACCTTTTTAAATCTGAGAGAATTGAGCATGAAATAAAAAGAACTAGGTTTTTTGAGACATTTCTTCGTTAAAGAAAAGTACTGCACAACTCTCTTCACCTGCGCCTCCAAAGTGAACTCACTCTCAATATCACTCTTCTGTTTCTGGCCACTGGCCTTCTATTAATTTATAAGTCAATATATGTAAGTATGTAATTTCACTCTCCAAGCGGAGGGATCATTTTTGTGGACTCATTATGCGCTCATTGGCTGTGAGAAAAAATAAGCTTTTTCATGATTTATTCTTCTGTTCAGTTTTATGTTTTGGCTCCATTTTGATTGGGATTCCAGATCAGTCAACACCATCACTTTATATAAAGCCAACCACGACCACAAATGCCAGCAGCAAGTTTCTTTATATCACTTGGAGCTTGAAGCCCTGTAAGCTATTCAGCAATGTTTAGACTCTGAAGGTCCACGTAGGTCATGTTCCTTCAATCTGAATAGTTAACAGTAAAATAATGCACAGTTACTCAGAAATGTGAGAAATGAAAGGCTGACTTTTCTCAGGTTAATTAGTACCAGCTGACATTTTCCTACATTAATATGAAAAAAAACCTGAAACGCATAACTTATAGTGAATGCTGCACATAAGCCAATGACTGCGCCCTGTTTTCCTCATCCACCCTTTTCACTGAGGTATCAACCTGGCCAGCCAGTCAACAGTAAAAGTTCAGGGATGTGAAGTGGATCGTAAGAAAGGGAATTTTAAAAAAGGGCAAATGATGTAACACTCATGAGTCCGGTTTCTCCTGTTTGAGAGACAATTTACGTTTCATGATTAAAGCCCCAATCAGAGATTTGTGGATAGCTCCTCATCACATCAAGTGCAGACGGCCCTCGTTGTGTTGTGACGGGGCACTTTAGAGGCTGATTCCTCACATCCTGCGGTCAGTAAAGTGTATCTACACAGCAACAGAATTTAATTCGGCCCAAAGATCCAAGTTTGCACAGCAGCCCATCTTCGTGTTTTCTGCTGATAACATGGGTGTGTCGTTAAAAATATTGAAGGTTAATATTCACCTAAAGCAGTGACCTACCTAATGAGTAAATGTATGACAATTGAAATATATCAGTCGTGGTGATGATGGGGTGATGCAGGTTACGTGACTGCGACTGTAAACACAAAGGAAAGGGGGAATGTGTTAAACGATTATTCTATTAAGATTATATAATTAAATTACAGAATTATATATTTTAAATTCAAATAAAATGTATCCAACAAAATTAAAACGACGGCAGCAAAACAAACATTAAATAGAGTAGGCGATAGTCTGAAGCTGCGAACCAGTTTTTTCTCAAGTAGGCCAACAATCACCGATATATACAGTAGTTACTCTGACTCACTCGAGCACTCTGTAATGGGGGATGGTGTAAAGAGGCAATCACATACACCATTGTATACAGTGCATGTTGTCAAGGACGGACCATAGGTGATGTGGAAAAAAAACATCTTACAGTACCTCCAGAGCACTGACAGTTATTTCTTTGGCTGGTCGGTTATTCACAACAGAAATAACTAACTACAAGCAACTGTAGAGAACGACCTAAGTTCATTCGTCTGACAACTTCGCGAACAAAGATTAAATCTGGCCTTCCAGGGTGATTGTTATATGCCCGGTTGTGTCGCAGTTCTTGTAGCGGAGAAAATACACTTGAGACGAAGGAACGTAAAGAGAGAAAAGCAGTAAATTCAAATGTTTATCCGCTGTCACCTGTGACAGCACAATGGCTCATGAGATGTGTGTGTGTGTGTGTCTGCGTGTGTTTTGTGGATGAGATAATGCTTTCTTATGTCACTGAGATGCAAAAACCTTTTCAAACTGTCAGATATGAGTACATCTCTGTCTCCGGGTGTTTCCACTTTATGACGTGCGTGATTGACGGAATATCTGCGTTTCCTTCCAGATCTGCTCACTTAATGGCTTCCACCTCTGAGTTGGTATTGACTCATTAATTATGTGCTGCGTAGGTTGGCTTTAAGGAAATTGAATCTCGCCGTGTGTGTAGTAGATGTACGCCGTGAAGCAGAGACGAACGTGGGTTGTAGGTAATGCCTTGTATTATATGCCATCCATAATCCATAAAGGTCACAGACATGCGCTGTTTACCATATTATGCTAATTGCCACAGTTTCCATGCTTGTGCTATTGAATTATACACAGCACGATTGATAGCTAGGACTTCGGAGAATAAGAATATATGGGACACAAGAACGGATGCAAATGCACAGAGGCTTTTGTGAGAATTTGTGTGTTGACACGATTTGTACTATTTGTATCTGACACGTATCAGAAATCAAATTGTCTGCCTGCCGACGCTGATTTCAAACGCGAGGAGGAAGATCATGTCAAGGAAGCGCGTGTCACTCGTCTCTCCCCTCGATGTGCAACTTGGCAGGCATCACAATGTTTTGCACATTCAATTTCCTGTGTTTAAATCTGACACGCAGGTTTTGTTTTCATTTTCCCTTTAACACACTGAATAAGATAATGTCACTCGAGAATTGCTAGATGAAAAGATTTCCATGGTGATTTCCATACATGTTGTTTTTTTTTTGCTTAGGAGATGAATTGAACAGCGGGCGCAGGGTTTGGAACCAATACAGCATGCATTATAATGAAATCATCTTTTTTTCTGTTCAGAGGAGCTATGCTTTGAAAATGGAGTTTGCAAACCAAATTGGATTAGAAATGGTGGAGATTTTGTGAGGTATCTCTCCAATTTCACAGTGTGTGTGTGCGTGCGTGCGTGCGTGTGTGTGTGTGTGCGCATGTGAGTGAGTATGTGTTTACCTGCTTCAATGCTGCAGGATTCTTCAGTCCGTAGCTATCAATATTAATGTCGGTCCTCAAAACAAGTATGGGATTCTGATTTATCTGTTAAGTTCTCTGTTTGACTCTGCTGCGCCACCAAAAGTCAAACTTGCAGTTTTTGTTTTTAAAAGAACATCCATGTGTACTCTTCCACTTGTTTTTGAAGCCCTCTTTTATGACTCCACAACCTCTATACTGAAGTGACGCATCTAAATGAGCAAATACATGTGTTGCTCACAATACCATGCTTCGATCGGTTACATCGTAGCTGTTACACGATCCAGTCGTTCTGTGCATTTAGACAATGTGTGAAGTGCTCAAAGGCTGAGCAGGTGAGTAACGCAGTCAGGGTTACGGTATATTCACTGGAGATGCATAACAACCCTTTACAGCCCAAGTGTGGACATTGAGCAAAGTAAAAAAAATCTATTTTAAAAAATCCATGAAGTCCTGTCTTTGGTATTACATCTCAGAAATCGCATCAATATGACAAGCAGAGCCATAACCTACAGAGTGTCGCAGATATGAATCTAGTTTTAATCAAATGGATTGTCTCTTCACAGCTCTGAAAAAGGGGCGATTCTGGATCACGCCTGACCCCTACCACAACGACGACAACATCCAGATCGGACGTGAAGTCAAGATATCTTGTCAGGTATAGTTGCGCTGGCAGAGTAAACACACACGTGGCTGCGTAAAAGAGAAGTACAAGTAAGTTACTCATGAATGCAACACAAGTAACCACGTTGCTGAATGTGCTAGGTGGAGGCGACGCCGCCAGAGGAGCTGACTTTTAGCTGGCTGAAAAATGGCCGTGGCCTGCGGAGCTCAGAGCGAATGGTCATCACCCAGACGGACCCCGACATCTCCCCCGGGACCACCAACCTGGACATCATAGACCTCAAGTTCACCGACTTCGGCACGTACACCTGCGTGGCCGCGCTGAAGGGAGGGGGCATCCCTGAGATCAGCATTGACGTCAACATCTCTTCCACAACTGGTGAGCCTCACACCCCTTTGTGTCAGTGACGCATCTACACACCTCCCCCAACACAGTCGACACGCAGACGTCTCGTAGCTATGCTCGTCAAACACTCATGCTTGAAGATCACGAGACTGAGAATGTACCGTGACAAGGAAATAAAAAAAACTCGGGCAGTGTTTCTTAGACTGTGGGGCTTTTTAAAGGAAACACAATCTAAGTCTTATTTTTGTAGTTTTTGCCATCAATCCTTTCAGTTTTGATATAATTTCACTGTAATCATGTCCAGCCAGGTTATATGAAACATTTATTTGGAAGTAAAAGCTAAGGATTACACACTGTGTCCATTGCATTGTAAAACTCAATGGTCAAACTTGAGGAAAGTTAGTGTGGACTATGTAATGTTCACCTTTAGTTAAGTGATTTAGTATTATTAATATCTGTGTGAACTGAAATCAGAGATTTGTTTCGAAAGAGATTTTACATGTTAGAAAATAATTGCTAAAAACATGTTAAAATAATCATATATATATATATATATATATATATAGTTAGATACATAGTATTCCAGCCAGTAAGTTGTTGTGTGTAACAGATAGGAATGGTAGCAGAGATGTGAAATAAGACCAGGTTATAAGAAAAGGGAACTTTCCTTTAAATGGTCACTTCACCCAAATCATGTTTCCCATGTGTCTCTGGTGATTGTAGCAATGCAGAAACTTTTCTGATTATCAGAACTAAAGCAGATAAAGGCAAAATTATCTGATATTTGTGTGTGTGATTTGGGTGAACTGACCCTCTAAGCCCTTCGTCTCCACAGGATAAGAACGCTTGTATGTCTTCTTTAGACTGTTGCTCACTGCCTGAATGAATTCCAGTAATCTGTCCCAGCCTGAGAAATATTCACTGTCGTCTGTAATTTCGAGTTTTTACACACAGTTGTATCACAGCGCCAACAATGAGTGTTCAATTGGATTCCTGTGAACCAAATCTGACTCCATCAGTCCGACTAATCAGAGACTAAACATCCATCGTCTTCCCATCTAATTGGCTGCTTCCACCACTGTTCCGACTAACGTTTGTATACATGTGTACAGCATGTTAATAACACAACATACCAGTCCGCCTTGTCTACTGAGCTGCATCGTTCCAGTTTCAACCCTGGCATGTTGAGTAGTCTTGTTACAGCAGCTGTTCGTCGTGTCTTTTAGATACATAGGTGCTTTTATACTGAAATCTTTCAAGCTTTAAAAGTGTAATCAAAAGACAAAATCTGCTGTCAAACATCCATTTTCTATCTCTTGTTTTAGATTTCAACATCAGTCAACCATCTTCCTGTCAGACGTTAAAAGAAAGACTTCTGGAAGAGCTTCACAGGCAACAAAAGCAAGCCTGACTTTTAGAAGATTGCGACATAGCATAGCATTGTGCTTACTCACTTCCTGCAGGCTCTGCAATAATGGTGAAACGCAGTGGCAGAGACAAAGTTATGACAAGCGTAGTTGGACAGGAGTGATGTTTTTTTTTGTCTGTAATCTCCCGTGTGAGGTCAATCAGTGTGCAGCGAATATGCGGTAATGCTCCGGTGTCACCGGGCATTACTTCATCGCTCATAGAGGGGTGTGAGGAGTCTCCTGCTTACCGCTCACTCAGTCATCACACTTTTTCAGATTGTCGACGTGGGGGACTCCCATGTGTTGGTGTTGCCGCTGGCTGAGGAGATATCTGTTTGCTTTGAATTTCCTGGCCTGTGTTTCGGTACTGATAAGTGACTTTAAAGTTGTGTGATATTTTGCGACTTGTGATTGGGTTCACAGCAGGCTTTACTTCCCCTTTTACTCACACACACACACTATTCCACAGGCACATTTTCACATTCCCGCTGCACCCTTACCTCCACTCAATGTCTATCGCATACACACAGCTCGCTACCACTCACAGCATGAACATGAAAGCAGTGTGTCAACCTTGGGTGCATAATTATTGTTAGATAATCCTTTGATAATCCCTGTGCTATAAAACAGTGCGATCAATCGCACCTGCCAAGATTGTTTCCTCATTATCTTTTAAGTAGTGCAGTCTATTCTTTTGGAGTGTCTGGGTGATGGCAATGCATTAACACAGACCCTTTAATGTGTAAAAGAAAATGTGCTGCTGTCTGACTGAGGAAATAAGCGAGGAAATGACTGACTCTATTGTGATCATATGGAATGAAAGGTTTCCTTAAGGCTTCGCTGTGATTACTTTTTAAGCTTTCATTGTTCCAGTCAGATGTGCGGGTATGAAATATTATGAAATGGTTGCATTGTCATAAAGCTGTTCCTGTCGTAGGAAATAATATATTGAATTTTGCTTCTGCCAGTAACAATTCCTGCCGCATTAGCTGAATGTGACTGGGCTGTTTCCCTGGAGAATGCGTGTCATGAAGCCATGAACCAGAGAAGTGTCTTCAACCGAGGGGCACAGTGTTGTTTACTAAAGCCAGTAGCGTAAGGTGGTTACGACGGGCCACAGTGCGCATGATTATGTCGGGGCCTAGTTACTTACTGCTGCTTTTATTTTGAAGGGCTCAGCATGTCAGTCTTGACAGATTTTGCAGCTAAACTAGCTACAGTATATCATCTCGTCACGTTATGAAATAGAGACTTTTGGACAACATCAACATACATATTACCCAGCAATCATCATTTCATATAGATGTATCAGGCGGCAACCTCCAGTTCTGAGAAGTGAAGCCAATGCAAAAGTGCCTACAATTGCATTCTCTCTACTGGCCATCAGGGGGCGACTCTTGTGGTTGCAAAAAGAAGTCAGTCATACACTACTAGAGATGTGTACGGCGTCCCTACGTCAGTCCTCCTTAGTCCAAATATGGTCACTTCCATTCACTGGTTGCTATGAATCAAGATGGCGCCATGTGTGTTTTTCTTTGAACACAGGCATATTTCTTTCATATTTTCTGAATCGATCTCAAGAGCCCAAATCTCCACTCTTCTCACTGTTGTCGGGCCCATTCTCTCCATGAGCCCTCCACCCCACGGGCCTCCCAGAGTCTTTATTCACACCCCTGACTAAAGCTCCTTATGCCTCTGCCTTGCCATTCCCCTGCAGCCCGTTTTGAGGTGTATAAGCCTAGTTTTTGTTCCTCTGCCTGTTCTCCTGAAGGAAGAAAGCTCGAGCCTCAATTAGAAGTCTTAATAAAAGCGTTTAGAGGAGATTACACTGCAGGTCTGCCAGGGTTTCGTGCTGGTGAAGTGGTTGGAAGGAGATTGGGCCTAAAGTGTCTCTCGTCTGAACACTTTGGAGCTTGCTGACTGTTCAAGCATTGGCTCCAGTTCCAGATTCCAAACCCGGATTTAGCCCCAGCCCACAGCACGTCTTCATAAAAGAGAATATTTTCTATGTTTCATTCTTTCAACTTTTGATGAATACAGATTTCAACGGCCTTCATGATTTCTCCCTTTTACAAAACAGCGCTAATATTTACTATCATGGCACACTCATGAAATAAGCATCTTCTTTTCTCGTCGGGGCTCCCAGAGACTGCAAGGCGAATACTTATTTATGAGCGTGGTCTGGAAACGAGGACACAGACCTCCCCTTTGGGTACCGTCAGGATTAAGAACCGCAAGACACAGCAACAGCTGAAAAGAGTTACGAGCATTAGTGTAAAACATAAAACATCCCATAAACTTCTAACTGGACATAGCTGATCATTCCTCTCATTAGTCCGCATCTTAATTAAATGTGTGTTTAGTTGTTGCGTCTTGCTGGATTATTGTTAGATGATGCAATTATTGCCATTCTATGGCTCTGACTCTGAAATGGCATTTGGCTAAAGATTGGAACTACCATTGGGACCATCTTAGAGATAAATATTAATAGCATGAAGAGTTATTACGGATGATTGTTGACCTTTAAAGCTGATATCTGCTTATTGCACTCTGTGTTATAATTACTACAAACACTGGATTCCACTGCCTTTATTCAAGAAAATGACGTTACTGCGGCAAGAATAGTCTCTGTTTATACATCAAAGTATCAGGACACGGCAGTAGTTCATCCTCAGTCTGGTTGATAATCACAAAGTAAGTATTAGGGTTGAAAGTCATCTCTCTCTTCCTTCCGTGATGAGTTCCCCAATTAGCATCCCGCTCACACCTGAAACTCTGGCACCACCCAGTGTTTCCGTCAATCTAAAGAATCACTGCAGTTAATGAATTAAGCAAATCAATTAAGTGCTCAGTTGATTAAAAAATGAGCTGGTTTAATAAACACAAAGTACAGCTCTTTTTTTTTTTTTCTCTGAAATTAGTTTGAGTCATCCAGAGCTTGCAGGCAGGCCCGCTCCTCTCAGTCTATCCTCCTTTCAACCGTCCTGTTGTCTGTTTGACTCTGATTCGTCATGAGATGCCATCATCTGAGTGACCGCGCCACATGTGACTCTAAGGAGGGGCAGACCGCTGGCTAATGTGCTTATTTCAGCAGCAAATTCACTGACCCCGATAAAGAGAAACCTGGTCTGCATCCTGACTCACCTACAGGGTGCAAAGGTTCAACTGCTGTTTGGGATCTGTGGGTGGAAACAACTTGTTTGCTGCTTTTGTTTGGACATGTGGAGTTTTCATAGAATGTCGGTCTTTTGTTGATGTTGGACAAATGTCCATTTTCTTTCATTGCATTGCTATTATTAGTCATTGGTTTTTATTGTTTGGACAGGAGGAAATGCAGCTGGTCCAACAATCGTCTGAAAAAACACTGACGAATATGAAACAATATCTTGTAATATCCTGTACAAATACTGTGAGCAGTGTATCTTACTTTTGCAATGTGTCTGCATTTTGCTTTATTGAAAGTTACGTCAAGAAAAGATCCATTTTACATTGAAATAATAACATCTGAGTGCAGTATCCCAGCATTGGACCATCAAGCCAACAGAGGTCCAGAAACCGGCCCAGTGAGCTGTGAACGGGGATGAAGGGGCCGAACAGCTGTCTCAAAGCTGGGCTGCTGTCCTG